AAAGAAAGAAAGAAAGAAAGAAAGAAAGAAAGAAAGAAAGAAAGAAAAGCAGGCTGAGCAAGCCATGAAGAGCAAGCCAGTCAGTAAGCAGCACCCCTCCATGGCCTATCCATGAGCTCCTTCCCCCAGGTTTTTAACCTGCATGCTTTCCTGCCCTCGCTGCTTTTTATTATAAACTGTTATATGGAACTGTGAGTGAAATAAACCTTTCCTCCCCAAGTTGCTTTTGGTCATAGTGTTTCATCTCATCAATTATAACCCTAAGGCAAATGTCAACACTGGACTATTTCTAAAAAAGTGAAAAATAGGAACTGGAAAGATGGGTCAGTGGTTAAGAGCACTGACTTCTCTCCCAAAGGGCCTGGATTCAATTCCCATGGTGGCTCACAGCCATCTGTGACTCCAGTTGCAGGAGATCTTACGCCCTCATCTGGCCTCTGCAGGCACCAGGCACACACACAGTGCACAGACATTCGTACAGACAAAACACTCGTGAAATAAAAACAAAGTCTTAAAAATGTTTTGTAAGAAAAGTGGACAATAAATGCTCGTGAACACTGGGGAAAATGGAACCCTTATCCACTGTGGGCGGGACTGTAAATTAACACACTTGCTGTGGAAATAACTGTGGATGGAGGCTCATCAAAAACTAAGACTAGAGGAGGCCACGGAGATGGCCCAGTGGGTAAAGCACCTGCTGAACAAGCCTGATTCCCTGAAGTAGGTCCCAGAACCCACATGAAGGCAGAGGCAAGAACAGACCCAGGAAGTTGTTCCCTGGCACCCACACATGCTATGCCATGTGCGCCCTTCCCCCAACACATCATACACACACAGAATAATAAGTAAAAATTTTAAGTGAAACTACCACATGCTCCAACGGTCCCACTCCTGAGAACACACCCAAAGGAATCCAAGGCACCATCCCACAGCAATGCCTGCACAACCACGTCTCTCGCAGTACCGTTCCCAATAGCCAAGCGACAGAGTCAGCCTGGGTGTCTATGGACAAATGAGTGGATAGAGGTCTGACGTACACACACAGCGAAGCTTTGTTCATCCATAAAGAATGAGAGCATGCGTGCTGAAGAGACAGCTCAGCAGTTAAGAGCACTTACTGCTCTTCCAGAGGAACCAGGTTCAGTTCCCAGCCCCCACACCAGGTGGCTCACAACTGCCCAGTCCTCCAGTCCCAGGGACGCTGATGTCCTCTTCCGGCCTCTGTGGGCACCTACATACATGTGGTGCACAGAAACTCACACGAGAAATACACACATCCATAAATTTTTGAAAAATAAATATGAAACGATGTCATTTACCAGAAAATCGATGCTAAAGATTAGGTTAAGGGACTGGAGAGATGGCTCAGAGGTTAAGAGCATGGGCTGCTCTTCCAAAGGTTGTAAGTTCAATTCCCAGCAACCACATGGTGGCTCACAACCATCTATAATGAGATCTGGTGCCCTCTTCTGGCATGCAGGTGTACATGCAGGCAGGCACAACACTAAACATAACAAAAAAAAAGATCTCGTTAAACAGGGTGTGACATATACACACACATGCGCACACATACACACATGTTACATATACACACGTGCACACACATGCAAAATAAATAAATCTTTAAACAATCAGACAGAGTGCTGGACAGGGGTCAGCCAAATCTCACCTGTCCCTATGACACATACAGCCTCTCAGATTCATGCCACAGACCCACAGTCACACCCATTCAGCCGCACTGCCATGGGCAGGGAAGCTCGCCAATGTCATCCATCACAGCACTGTCAGGCCTCTAGCGCTGTGCATGTGGGGGTCTCCATCTTCCCACCTGTGAGTGGGGGCGGGGTGGTAGAATGAGGAAGAGTGACTCCCCCTTCCCTAGTGTCCCTCAGCCCAGGGCCACATAACCCAGAGAAAGGGCCAAGCTAAGGCCAGCAGCCTAACCCCAGGAGCTTGTACCTGGCAGAGGCGAGTGGTACAGGAGGGCAGCAGGGGCCGACAAAACTTCTTCATGGAGCTGACGGCCGCTGGGAATGCGGGCGCTGAGAAGATGGCGGCTACCAGGTTGATCCTCAGGATCCAGGACAGCATCTCTTCCTTGCTCCTGGGGACAAAAGAGGACAGAAAAGGGCTTCTTGTGATAGGACCTCCGGCCCTCCCCACACGTGGCACCCAGTACTCAGCATGAAGTCTGGCAGAGAAGGTACTGATACCCAGGCAAGGACAGGAAGGAGGAAGAAGGGCAGGAGTGGACAGGTGGGCAGATGAGCCTGGTCAGAACTGGAGAGGGAACTCCCATGTGGACTCCTGTGAAATGACCCTGCTCCACTCTGGACTGGTGTCCCTAGAGCCAGTCGGTGAACTCCAGGATCAGCTGCAATGGGCAAACCTCTGTCTTGCCCCCACCACCTGCCCAGCCTTCCCACTCTGTCCCCAGTTCTCACAATCTAGTCTCCTTCCTGTGAAGGTTGCCTGACATGTAAAAAAACTCCATCTCTGGTCACAGAGGACAGGGTGGGACAGAGCAGGAGGCCTAACGGGTCAAAGCTAGGAGTCCTCCCCACCCAACCTCTGAGTTTCTGCCAAGGAGGGGTCCCAGTCCGCGAGCCTGAGCTTCAGGACTTCAGAGGGGACCCGCAGCCCCTGAAGGCTTCTTAGACCCAGTCAAGTATCGGCTCAATGGGCCTAAGATGTGGCCAGTGGGGTGGCACCTCTACCCAGCCCCCAGGTGTCGGAGGACACCACACAGAGCCACTGCTCCGGAAGACACGAAGCAGCTACTCATCTGTGGCAAGAGGACATGCCAAGTCTGTGGCTGACACGCACAGGCAGCTGAGGTCTCTATCCCAAGACCAGGAGAGTGGGGATTGCAGGGCGATGCTGTGGGCCGTGCTCCTCGGGGCTGTGCTTCTACTTACGGCGCCTGGAAGAGGAAGACCCTCCAGTCTGCTGTCTTCAGCTTGAGCACGTTGGACTTCTTGCTGTAGTCAGAAGCCCTGGTGGCCAGAGCATGATGCACGCGGATGGCATTCTTCAGGTCACCCTCAGACAGGGCCTTGTCCGGCCTGTATTCATCCTGAGCGGGGGGGAGGGGGGGTGTGCTATGTCACTCTGGGCTATTGTTCGCTGCCTGACACATTCCATTGTCATTTCCCTCCTTTCCTCCCTCCCCCACTCCCTCCCTCCCTGTCACTCTACTCTGTATTACCTCTTCCCTCCCAGACCCCAACAAGAATTACTGCAGGGGCTTTCAGTCTGTCCCAGAGGCCTAACGCTGATGTGCTTGGCATTCAGAGTCCCTTGCCCAGAACCCTCAAAGCTGCTAAGTGAGTACAGAAAAGACTGTTAATAGAGGAAGGCCCTAGCAACTGAGCCCAGTGTCCCACACCTGTGATCTCAGCACTCAAGAAGACAAAGGCAGGCGGTTCTCTGTGATTTTGAGGCCAGCCTGGTCTACAAAGCTAATCCAGGACAACCAAGACTACACAGAGAAACCCTGTTAGAAAAAAATGAGAAGAGGAAGAGGAGGAGGAAGAAGAGAAAGAAGAGGAAGAGGAAGAAAAGGAAGAAGGAGGAGGAGAAGGATAAGGAGAAAAAGAGGAGGAGGAGGAGAAGAAGAAAAAGAAGAAGAAGAGGAGGAGGAGGAGGAGGAGGAGGAGAAGGAGGAGGAAGAGGAAGAGGAAGAGGAAGAGGAAGAAGGCCCTAGCTCCTCTCCCAGTCCCAGTCCTGACCAGAAGACCTTGAACTGAGTACCACAGGCAGCAGCTGGTTGAGACTGAGTGTGCCCTTTGTACCTAAGAGCTCTAAAGCAGCCTCTTTCTCACCTTCTGCAGGTACAGGATGGTCCCTTTGAGCACCGCATAGAATTTCTTCCAGCCACGCCTCCCTCGGGGCGCTGAGGAGAGGGCACAGGCAGTGTGGCTGCAAACTTCTGCTTTGGTAACTCCTACCCTGCCATCCCCTGAAAGTCCATGTATATGTGCCTCCCCAGAGGGGTGGCCAAGGGTGGGTCCCCCCTACACCAGCACCCCTCCCAGGCCCCTTCCCCAGCCTGACACCCACTCCTCTTGCCATCCATATCAGCGTGAGTCTTCCGGGTCAGCACTCCATGCTTGTAGGTGGTAGCGCTGAGAGCCTGCGGGACATCCAGGAATGGATTGCCACCATCCAAGATCCGAGTCACCTTCTTTGTGCCTGTCCCAAACTTGTCATCCACCAGCTCAGACAGGGACTTCCTCAGCTCATCCTCATCACTAGGAAGGTACCAAGCCTGAGAGCCACCTCCAGAGACACCTTGCCTCCAAGCCCACCCCTTGCCACAGACTTCCCCACCAGCCACCACCACCACCCCAGCCACCTGGCATCAAGGTTAGAGATGAAAGATTCCAGAATACAGCTCCAGGGCTCTGATCCCTCCCTATCATCTTCAGTTCTGACCTCTGACCTCTGATCTTTGACTCGGGGTCTCTAAACTAATCTTCACCTTTACCACAGAGTTGGATTCTTTCTTGTCTTCAGGTCTCTTTCCCCAGTATCCCTTCTCTCCAGCACAGGGAGCATGAGGAACGCTAACCCTCTGTGGACTTCGGCTATTGCACAGGCCGTGCTGACATGCTGGGAACAGCAGAGCAAAGGGCCAAGGCCCCGGAGGAAGGAGCCCTGGCAGAAGAGGGCCAGCTCTTCCCAGCAGGATTAGACTCCCTGAGCCGTGGGCCTCCACACACACCCAAAGGCACAGCCTTCCCTGGGGAGCTCAGCTATGGGGCTCCCCATCCAGAGAACCTCTCGCCGCCTCCCCAGCCAGCAGCATCTCCACCCCTCTTTGCAGCTGGCTGTGCACAGTCTTCGTAGGTGAAGAAGTTGAAGCATTGGCTCCCTCCCCACTGCCAAAAGCAGCCGCCACAGCTAGTGTCAAAGGGGACCCATGCCTCCTGCCCACCATCGATTGGGAACCCGGCAATATCCTCAGTACAGAGAAACCAGTCATGGGCAGTCCTGGAACTAAATTCAATGTAAGTATCAAGTCAGAAAATGACCCCCTGACGGTGTTGGCCTGCTGGGTAGGTATTGTCGGGGGCCTGGGCTAGGGTGAATCAGCACCATGGAGAGTGGCCTGCACGCCCAGCCACTCCCTCTCCTGGTAACCAGGCTCATACCCGCACCCTTCATCGCTACTCACATGGCCCATTCCAGCTTTTCATTCTTGATGGAGTTGTAAAGCGTCTGAATGAGGGCGGAGAAAAGGGAGGGAGAAAGGAGTTCAGGTAGAGTCAGAGAAATCCCCATGTCTCTCCAGCAGCGTGGCCGTGGTGAGGGAGCACCTTTGCAGTTAATGGGTAAAGTGGGTGCTTGGTTCATACTTGGTGATGTCATTTGATGAAAAACTGAGTGGGTAGGTGGGTGTATGGATGGGTGGAGCTTATTATGCACTCATTACTGTGTGTCTAGCCAGGAGGTTGTAAGCTTCCCAAGGTCAATAATGTCTATCTTGCTCACCACGGAAGCCTCAATACAAAATTTAGAATGTCACAGGGTGGGTGGATGGATGGCGGGATGGATGAGCGGTTGGTATGTGAAAGAGGGTTCGGAGGGCTGAAGATGTAGCCCATTTGGCAGAGTGCTTACCTCGTGTGCATGAAGCTGTGGATTTGATCCCAGAACCACCTAAAAGCAGCCTGTTGGCTCATGCCTGTAATCCCAGCCACAGAGTGAGCTGAAGGCCATCCTGAGCTACATGAGACCTTGTGTCAAGGGGGGGGGAGGAGGAGTAGTGTTTGGGGTACAGGAATGTGTGAGGGGTGAATAAGTGGGTGCATGGGTAGGTACACAGTTGTGTGGCTGGTGAATGGGTGTGTCCAAGCATGAGAAAAGTGTGTGGGTGGGTGGAGAAGTAGGTAAAGGGTGGATAGAGAGAAAAAGTAAATCGATGGATAATGATTTTATATTCTTTGTTTTGTTTTGTTGGGGTTTCCCTGTGTAGCTATGACTTTCCTGGATCTCTCTCTCTCTCTCTCTCTCTCTCTCTCTCTCTCTCTCTTTCTCTCTCTCTCAACAAGGCTGGCCTTGAACTCAGACTCTGTAGAGCTAGTTCCAGAACTCAGAGATCGACCTGCCTCTGCCTCTCAAGTGCCGGGATTAAAGGCATGCACCACCATGCCAAGTTCTCAGCAGGAACTTCTTGATGGTGAAGCAGATAATTATAACAAAAAATGAGGTAACGACAATGTTCTCTTTTTAGTTTCCATAACTGACACATAATAATTGTACAGATCTTCCTCTAGCTTCACCATTCAACTCCCCTCCTAGAACCATAAGGCTATTAAAAGACTATCTAAAAATGAACTCACCACCTATACGTAACCCTAAAATAAATCTCTCCTTATTTATCTGAGGCCGAACCTTCGCCCTGGGCTTCATCCTCAAAGGAAAACTAATCTCTTTCATTGCTGGTGATGAAGGAGTGGGCCTTTCCTTGTGGTTATGGTGATGGTGGTGGTGGTGGTGGTGGTGGTGGTGGTGGTGGTGGTGAAGGTGGAGGAGGTGGTGGTGGGAGTGATGGAGGCGGTGGTGGTCGCTGGTGGCAGCCATAACAACTGGTGACAGTGATGGTTATTACTGAGACAGAAGTCGTGGTGATTGGAGCATTAAAACCAAAGGGCTTAGAGCCTCACTGTCTATCTCTCTTGGAGAATACCGAACAGTCAAGTGAGGAACTAAGCAGCCTCCAGCTCTGTCCCAAAGCGATGGGGCCCTGTTGCAAGTGTTATGGGTCTAAAATATCACGTTTAGTGGGGCAAGATTTCACTCCATACCTGTGGGGCAGGGCGTGGGGTGTGGGGACCTTTAGCAGGTAATACCTTCAAAAGGTCTTTGGCAAAGTCTTGGCCATCGTTCAGCTGGTCCAAGTTGGCGATGAATTGTTGGCAGGACATCTTCTTGCCAATGTTCTGTCATGGAGAAATGGTTCTGCCTGAGAGTAGGGAAGAAGGCTGGGGTGGTCCACACACCCTGCCCTGCCCTGCCCAGACAGAGAGGACAAGGCAGTGCTGAGGGTGAAAACAAAAGTCAAACTGCCTGGATACTCCTTCATCTCCAAGAATTTGCAAATTTTTTTTTTTTAATCCAAATTCTATTTGGCCCACAAGCAACACGAAAGGCTCTTCAAACTCAGTGAAGGAGCCAGGTTAGGGGAAGCATTGCAATGGCTGAGCCTGCCAGGAGCCTGCTCTGCTCTGGGCACTGACCCTGACGTGCATTATCATATCTCCTTGCCACAAGGTAAGAGATCTGAAGGATGAGCACGTGAAACAACGGGGGAAGGGAGTGCAGGGGCCCAGCCTGTCTGACATCAGAGCCCATGCTCTCATCCACCTTTCCGTGGTTATTTCTCCCAAGCTCACTGAGAAGCAGCACTTGAACCCAGGCCTCTTGGCTCTTATATTCCGCCATAGTCGCCTTACCCTCTCACCTGCACAGAGTTGGGCAGGAAGACCTCCCGGAAATAGATCAAGTAAGGGGAAATTTGGTTTTATGGACCAAATATCAAACCCCAACAGCACACAAGAACGATTCATACTGAGCTGGGTTGACAAAAAGAAAAACTGCTTAGGTTCTCACTGCCACAAGCAAAGCGCTGGGGATGGAGGGCTGTGCCCCAAAGTCTATCTTTTGTTAACCACTCACTAGTAGAAGGGCTCAAACCGTCCAAGCCGATCACCCGGCATTCACGCTTTGAGGGTCTCCTTGGAAGAGCCCCGCTGGAGGAGGCCCTGGGTGGCCCTCCACCTACGGGAGGTTTTGTGAGTTGAGGTTTGCTCGTACTTTGCTGTGGAATGTTAGCACCCCACGACATGGGAATATGTATTTCCTAAAATAAATAACAGGATATTATGGCCCAGCAAATTAATTGCAGCACTCCAGAGCTTTGAACGTGTTTATGTGTGCTGGGAGTCTCCAAGGACCGAGTTCCGTGTGCGCTGCCCCGGACTTGGTGTTGGCATTACTTTAACAAAAGAGCCTTTGCTGACTGCATATGACATCCAGATACCGCAGATATCATGTGGAAAGTGCTGCTGCAAGGCAAGGGTTGTTTGTTTGCTCGCTTGCTTGGTATTGGGGCTCACCACATAGCCTAGGCTGGCCTAAACTTGAGATCCTCCTGCCTCAGCCTTCTAAACGTTGGGATTATAAATGTGCTGGTTAGTTTTCTGTCAGCTTAACAGAAACTAGACTTGAGCCCTTCCTCACCTCCAAAATAAAAGAAGGGAAAAGAGAAAGAAAGCAGGCTGAACAAGCCGATAAAACATTCTCCGGTGGCTTTTGCTTCAACTCCGCTTCAAGTTCCTGCGTGGAGCTCCAGCCTTAGCTTCCCCTGATGACGGACTGTGGCCCGAGAAAAACCCCTTCCTCCTCCCCGGATTGTTTTAGATTAGGGTCTTTATCACAGCACTAGAAACCGAATTAGAATGATAAGTATACATTCCACTGTGCCCAAACAAGTAAGGGTTAATATATAGCTGATTGAAAATGTTTAACTTCTTCCAAAGGTTTAATAAGAAAAACTTCTATGTGTGTCTGGATGTGTTTGTTTGTTTGTTATAGTTTTATGTATAAATTTCCTGTATTCAGACAAAAGCATATAGCCATACCATGAGCATTTGTGATAAAAGAACACAAAGACATAAGGAAATACTGTCTTTGAGGCCCACGCACACTGAACATTCTCAGCCACTAAGAGTACAAAGTCAAAAAACAGCTAAGTAATGGATAGGGATGTAGCTCAGTTGGTGGAGTGCCTGCCTAGTTAGTACGTGTTGGAGCCTTAAGTTTGATCCGTAGCACTACCTAAACTGGGCATGGCAGTATATACCTATAATCCCAGCACTTGAGAAGTGGAGGCAGGAGGATCAGAAGTAAATGGGTATCCTCAGTATTACAGTAAATTTGAGGCTAGCCTAGGCTACAAAGACCCTGTCTCAAAGTAGAAATAATAATCTTAATAATGGTATATCCTTGAGGTTAAGAGCACTTACTGCTCTTCCAGACAACCTGAATTTAGTTCCAGCACCACCTTTTGTAATTCCAGCATCGGGGACTGATGCCCTCCCTCTTCTGGCTTTCACAGGCATGTACATGCGGCACACATGCACAAAGGAACATACACATACACCTAAATAAAAATTAGCGGGAATGGGGCTAAAGAGATGACTCAGTGGTTAAAAGCTCTAGCTGCTCTTTTAGAGGACTCAGGTTCAATTCCTAGCGCCTACATGGCAGCTCACAACTGTCTGTAACTCCTATTCCAGGGGATCCAAAACCCACACACAGTCATGCATGCTGTCAAAAGACCAATGTACATAAAAAATTTTACATACATTACAAAAAAAATTAGTGGGGGGAAAAAAAGCTTTGGCTGAAATATTAATGAAACACCTATATGAAGGCACTAGAGAAATACAGGCAGACTTCAAGGCTAAGTTTCTGCCAATCAAGGAATGCAGAGAGCCTTGTGCTGGGAAACTTTCCTTGTGGAAGCATGGCGCAATGGCTGAAGAACCAAGTGACCCTATTGAACTCAAGAACAAAAACTGGACTTCAGAGTGCACCAAGGCAAGGGACCCTGCTCCAGCCCTATGTCAACATGAAATTGAAACAAATTTTTTCTAATTTTTTTTTTCTAATTTTTCAGTCATTAGAAAATTATTCCAGGGCTGGAGAGATGGCTCACTGGTTGCTCTTCCAGAGGTCCTGAGTTCAATTCCCAGCAACCACATGGTGGCTCACAACCACCTATAATGAGATCTGGTGCCCTCTTCTGGCCTGCAAGTGTACATGCAGGCAGAATACTGTATACATAATAAATAAATAAATCTTAAAAAATAAAAAGAAAGAAAAAAAATATTCCAGATGAAAGCATAGAGAAGCAGAAAGCATGAAGAAACAGGAAGTGTGGAAAAGTAGGAAGCATGGAGAGATTTGAAGTTTGGGGAAACAGGAAGTGTGGAAAGCAGGAAATATGGGGAATCAGGAAGGATGAAGACATAGGTTTCATGAGGGAAAGAACGCATAGGGAAGCAGGAAGCATGGAGAAGTGGAAATCTGGGAAAGAGGAAAGTGACAGAAAGCAGGAAGCTTGGAGAAGTGAAAAGCTGGAAGAAAAGGGAAGTGAGGGGAAGCAGGAAGCATGGAGAAGCAGAAAATATGAAGAAGACAGGAAGCTGAGAGAGCTTAGCTGTCTTTAGGCGGCACATGACCCCAGAAGTGATAAAAAAAAAAAAAACACTTTTAATAAGTCATAAATGTACATCATGAACTGAAAAAGAATTCTGAGGACTGGGGATGTAGCTCAGTGGTAGAGCACTTGCTTAGCATTTGCAAGGCCCTGGGTTCAACCCCATCACCGCAAAAGAAAGACTTCGGAAAGAATACACAACTAAGAAGGTAGCAAAGAAGAAAAACATAAATTGAAAAAGCACCTAAACCATCCAAAAGTAGACAAGAAAGGAAGGAAAAAGAAAGAACAGATGAATGAAACGGAAAAGAAAACGTAGCACTCAGGAGGCAGAGGCAGGGGAATTTCTGTCAGTCCAAGGTCAGCCTGATCTATAGACCTAGTTCCAGGACAGCCAGGGCTACATAGAGAAACCCTGTCTCAAAAACAGAAAGAAAGAAAGAAAGAAAGAAAGAAAGAAAGAAAGAAAGAAAGA